GGCATGAACTCTTTTGGTGATGGAAGCTCTTCTTCCCATCTTGAAGACATGATTGAAAATAGCAATTTCAGTTGAAAGTAGTTTTGTTGATTTGTGTGATTTGGTTGGATTTACCAATTGAAACTAGCATTTAGATGGAGAATTTCTTCTCCTTTGTTTATGATTATAGATACAAAAGAAGATTTGCAAGAAACTGAAATCTAAGAGCTTAGCCAAAAGTTTATGTGAAGAGGAGTGCCATGGACAAGGTTGATGTTTACATGTCACATAAACACCAAAACGTCGTGGCAATGGTCGGGCTTGAAATTGAAGGATTATAGTCATAAATTGAAGGATTTGTGGATTAGTAATTATGGATACTTGTTTGTGGATAAGAAATCCAATTTGTTACACTTAGATTCATTGTTCTTGAGATACACTTGGTGAGATCATCCAAAATGTATGGATAGTCCATGGTTAATAGTAATTTTGTGTACAAATTGTAATTTGTATCCTTATATTTTTAGTATACAGATTGAACATATTGATATTATATGTTCATGGTCAGATTTTTGTATATATTGATCAACTGGCCGGATCCGCACCCAAACAGGCCACCCGCAGCGGATTTTTCTTTTTTGCGGATCGATACGGGCAGGTCCGCGGTCTCTAATTATATGTTCAAGCCCGTCCCGCATTATACGACGGGGCTAGCCCGCGGACAAAAGCCATCATGTGTCAAAAACTCTGTGTAAATCATAGTTTCATCATTTACGCATCATGTCTTCTTATAACTTAAGAGCCATAAGCTATAACTCGTCAAATCTATTAGCATAAAAACTCAAGAGAGTAATTTCTCATATTCATTCTAAACTTCTAACAAAAGTTCAAAAAAACAGAGGTAAAAAATATCCAAAAATCAAAAGTTTTGAAATAAAGAGAGTAAAGAGGAATTGTAAAAATACTCATAATTTTAGACCAATTTTTTTGATTTTTTTTTTATAAGTATCGAACTTATCTTTGGTATTTACAATTTAAGAAGAAAAATATCAAAAAACAAACGAAATTGGATTTGTTATTGAAAGTAACAAACAATCATTGTAGAATTTGATTTTTCAAGCTCTTAACTTAAATCTAGAAAAAATTAAATCAATAACCTAACATGATGAGTTTCCAGTTTTGGTTGAATGTAATTTGGTTCTATGTTAATTATGTCTTTAAATTTATGATTATTAAAAAAAATTCTTGAGTAGCTTTTGAGTTTACTTGGAATAACACAATAATAAAAAAGTAAGAATCTCATTAGAAATTTAGTACTTTTAAACTTTTTATTTCAAACAAAATGTTCACAAATCATATCTTAGTTTAGTGTTTGGCGGAT